TACTTAATATACATATACTTAATATACATATACTTAATATACATATAATACTAATAATATACAATAAGTAATACATGCACGATAGTTTTATATCGTGCATGTATTACTTATTAATAAAGCGAAAGGAACGTTTGGGACAACCTGATACATTTTGTTCCCTAAAAAGAGAATAATCACGAGAACGTTTAATATTTGGACCACAGAGTCTTCCGGGCAAAGGTCACCTCGAGGTCCAGTGACGAGTTCTACCCACGCGAAGCTTTCTAGGGCTTAGAGACCGCTACGGTAGACCTCTCGACCCTTAGTCTCCGTGCACGTAGGCCTGATAGACCCTTAGTCGTCGACTTGGTCGTCCTAGCAGATCGATTATCGCCAAGTTAGCAGTGGTCCACGCAGTCCTCGACCCACTTCTCTCTCCCAACGCTCGCGTCGAATCGCGATCAGTTTCTAATCAGTTTCTAATCACTTTCTAATCAGTTTCTAATCAGTTTCTAGGAGCAACGCGGTAAACGGTGCTAAAGAACCTCGAGCTTTGGAAGTATTCCAAACTATGACTGAGATAGCAACGAAGTTGACATTGACACCTCGAAGGGAGACTAAGAAGTGACGTAGCCATCGCTTTGTGTAGAACGAATCCCTGAACAATTTCTCGTCGAAAGCAACCGACTCGAAGAATCGATTTAGATCGACTATATTTCCTGCGTTCGCGATAATCAGGGACATATCCTGTATATGTTCACCACTGTATTCCCTCCAGGGTGACAGAGGACCATTTAGGAATCGATGCTCGAGCGAGAGTCGGAAAGGACCAGGTCCTTCCTCGTCGACCAACGCCCTTGTATTCTTTTTTTTTTTTTTTTTTTTTATCTTATCATTTTCTCGACACCCCTGTCTTTGGTTTCTCTCGAAGGGAACGGGTTAAGTCTGATGAAGCAAGCGCCTACTTGATACCAAACCGCGGCTCTCGCGATCGTGTAAACGACGTTACACTTTACACCCTCGCGAGGATCTTGACTCAACTTTGGGGGACGTCTTTGGACATGCGATGGGGGGACGTTTGCATGGTCCAAAGCAAGGGTATATTTTTGAAAAAATGAAGAATTCGCCGAGATATCTCCACTTTCTTTATTCTGTTCACTTATCTTCGCTTTCTGTCTTATTTCCTTTCTTCTTACTCTCGTAACACTACGTAAATACGATAATGTACGTTACAATCGGTCCTGTAAGCATTCGTACCCTCTGTGTCTCATTATCTAAATTAAATGGTAGGTCTCGCGTTTCCAAATTGATTCTTCATTATGAATATACATATATATATATATGTGTGTGTATACACACGTGTGATATAATATAGAAAACGTACATGAAACGCACATATTGTACGTAATAATATCGTTATTTCATTTATCAATCAGTGAGTAAAATCCGCAGTCTATGAGAAAATATATATATAAATTATTAATGTATATATTTATAAGGAAACATTGATTTTGTTAGCAGTGAATGCACCATTTAATTCAGACTTTCTGTGATAGACGTGGGAGATACATATTTATACTTCTGGAGTCCGGTACCATATATATATATATTTGTACCCCACATGCGTCTACCGAAGAAACTTGTCTGAATTAAATCATAAGTTCGATGTTTCCAAATAAATGTTTCATGTGAAGTTCATTCGTGTATATATTTATAATGAAATGTTAATTGTGGCAGCATCAAGTCCACCATTTAATTCAGGCCTGCAATGGACAGTGGAGGGTACGTAAAGTCAATCTCATAAGTATTCAATTCGTACCCTGTATCGAAGGAATTTATCTAAATTAAAAGACAGGTTTAAAATGTTTGCGAAGTAAACTTAATGTTAGTTACCAGGTGAATGTTTCGTTATGAACATATACAGGTTCGTTATATTCGTAATGAAACATTTATTTGAGACACGTCGAACCTTACCATTTCAGTCTAATAATTGAGAAAAATTTCTTCGATGGTTATAAAGGGTACGGGTGCTTGTGTAACTATATGTGTGAACCATGAAAAAGACTGAACACGATCCACTTGATTCGCGCCCCTGCGAGTTTACTCTGTAAGCAATAAAACAAACAAGTATTATAGATACCAAGTTAAGCTAATTATGTAAATTGAATGTGTAACCTACTTTCAGACGAGCAATAGAACTCTGGTGCAGAATGTATCTGTGACAGGCAGATCCCCCTCTCAGGATTACTATATGGTTAGTCCGCAAGTCCAATCTCCGCACTGTTTGACCGTTCTTAAATATTAATTCTTTATTTTCTATATACATATCCATGTATACATATATATATACATATATATATGTGTGTGTTAAACGTGTGTGTGTGTGTGGTATACATATACATGCATGTACATATATGTATATATCTATATGTATGTTTACCTTTGTTTTTTCCATTAACCAGTTTGTCTCTTACTACTTGGGTTACCTTTTCTTTCTTTTTCTTTTTTTTCTTTTAATTTTTCATTTGATTCTTTTGCTTTCCAGTTTGACGTACTTGGTTACTCTCTTACTCGTTTACTCTGCGCTCTTTAACATTACTATAATACTTTTCTTGAACGTTGAGATTCACGCTCATCTTGATTTTACTTTCTAACTGGACTTTCTTTCACAACTGTTTCTGCCTATCTTACTTTCTTCGCCCAGGCCTAAGTTTGTCTTCTGGTCGTGTCTGTCTTTCCAACGTGTATTAACTCGCCTGTTTCTGCTCTGTTTCGTCGCAGTTCTGCTTGGAAGTCGCTTCTCTCGCGCAATTTCTTTATTATTTGTATTACTTGCCCCGAACTTCCAACCTTTCCCCTCTGTATTCACTTTAGCCTTTTGTGGTCCATATAAACTGAGATTCTCGACACGAGGAGTTCCTTTCGAAGGGTTAATCCACATCCTCATGCTTTATACTCTTCTTTCAGTTCCTTGGAATCCTTGCAAGCTGTCGATTGGCCTGGGAATCCTGACGTTTGGCAAAAACTTCTCCTGGCACTTTGCGAAAACATATTTTACTTACTTTTAACACGTTGGCTGCCAGACTGATTCACTTAGAAGTGTTTACAGAGATAAAATTTTGTCTAGAGGCAATTGAAAACTATAGAATATAATATCGTATTACTTACTTTTGTATTATTGTCAAGATTTACGAATTCAACATGTTAAACTCTACCTACGCTGTGATATTAACACTTTGCCTACTGCCAGCGTTTAACTTCTGGAATTCATTGTATATAAATAGACAAAGTTCTTGTTATGCCAAGCATATAGGACCTGGAAATTAACGTTTGTATAAATTAATATCCACTGACGTACAAAGTCCTCTTTAAATGATGTATTAAAGGAAAAGTGTTCTCAGAATCACAGCGTAACTTTGTATTCCTCTTTATTTACAGTGATTCTCAGGCCATCGATTAACTTGTTCATTATTTATCAATCTTAATTACTTATCATTGTTTTCCTTACCAACTAAAATATTATCCAAATATTTCCTTACCAACTAAAAAATTGAAGTAAAGATTTCTTCCTTCGAACTTGACCTTCCGTTCTTAATTTCACTAAACCTAATCGCTTCCAATTTCCATCTTAACCATCATTCTCTTCTAAATTGTTGCATGCACGTTTATGCGTATATGTATGTACGTACACAATTTACCCGTATATACGTGTATATACGTAAATATATGTATACATACACACGTGTATGTGAAATGCATGCGCGTATGTATACGCGTATATGAATGCGTGTACGCGTATATATGTGTGCTTGGAAAACACATACACGGCAACGTACGCTTTTGCAATTTCTATTTCTTTCTTTCTTTTTTATTTTTCCCCTCTCTCTCTATCTTTCTCTCTCTCTCTCTCTCTCTCTCCTTCTCTCTTTCTCTATCTCTATACTGGACACACTATGTCGATTACCAGTTTATTTATTCCGTTTCACGCCATTCAGTTAATTTTAGATTGCGTCGCGATATTCCGTGGCTCTACAGGACACTTCCTTCGGTTGATTTACATCTCAGTCTTTCTTTGGTTTCATTAAAAGTTTTTGTTTCAGGGTCAGATTGATTTCGAGTCGTTGACAAATCGTTTCGTCGACGCTGTTCTACCAAAACTGGCCACGAACTTGTCGACAATGTTCACAGTATCCTAGTTGTGTTGGCAATTACACGTGTACACAATTAGTGCGTGTAATCCACGTACATAATGTACACTACATCAACTGTTACCTTCTATATTGATTTTAACCGTTAATACTTGATAATTCCACTTAATAATTCATTTACACATTATGTAATGTACATAACCGGGAATTACTAGTTACAGAAGCAATTCGGTTACGTAGTAATTTCAGTTACACTGTGATGTGTACTTTAGAGTTATCGTTTAGTTAAATTGCAATATGATTGAATAAGAATTGAGAATAGATTGTGGAAAAATGTAGCGAAAGGTGAAGAATGAAGTAGTTATCAGTGATGGATATGTTATTATGAGTTTCTAGTATACAAACAGAAATAAGGTTCTTTGTGAGATACTATCGTGTTGATTCAACATTATTGAAATTGTAACGTTCAAATAGAAATTAGCTTCTTTGGTCATCACGACATCACTTGTATTACACTAACAGTTGGAATTATGTAATTCATTTGATTAATCATCACTCTGATCGACATCTGTTTCCATCATCCATTTCAATACAAATTTATAATCCAAAATGGTTCCTGTTAATTAACAGAGTATCGCAAGTCACATAAGTATTTATACTCCCCAAAACGTTCACCGTAGGTGGTTAATATTTTTTCAAGATAAATGCTAGAGATTCCTTGTCGATGAAAGAATGCAATATATTAATTCTTTATTTGATGTAGACGTACAAATTAATATCATATACAGTCAACATGTTTGATTATTCATTCTGGTACACAATTATATTGAAAGAGTCGATGAAAGTATACAGTACACCAATAAAGCCTTTAATTGGTACAAACATACAAATTTA